ATACAATTTTTTTTTAAATGGTCCGTAGTCGAGAATTTGACAAAATATAATAAAATTCAAATTTTTAGGAAAATTGTTTAAATAAAAGTTATTTGTGATATCGATCTCTATAATTTTTGATTTTTATATGATTTTTCTAAAATGGACCGTATTGGAAAAATTGAAGGAAAAGTGCTAAATTTAAATTTTTCAGTATTTTCGTTTTCAATGAATATCTATAGAAAAATGTTTCGAGTTAGATGTATGTGGAAAATGTATATATTTAGTTTATCCTCTAAACATTTATAGAGGTGCTGCAATAGGTTGTACAAAATAACCGGAAAAAGCCTATAATAACTAGATAGGAAAGTCATGTGTTGGACACATCAGATTTTTAATACAAGAGTAATAAGAGTTCGTTACAAAATTATTTCGTGGCTGAATTTTTATTAAAATGAAAAATCAAGCTTCAAGTTTCGTACAAATTTCAATGTTTAAATTGACAGTGACAATTTGTTTACGTTACAAAAAATATAATTAAGGATAGTTCAAAACAATGGAAGTATAGTTCAGATAAACGGTTATTAATAGAAAGTAGACCATTAATGAGGCCAATTAATGGCAGATTTTGTCAACATTAACTGGATGGATTAATTATTGTTAACATTAACTGGATTGATGAATACACTGGTAACGGAAAAATATGTACAGTTAGTTTCGCATAAAATACATGCATAAAAAACCAAATTGGTTTGTTTATACCTACGCTTTTCAATAGGCACCTGAGCACGAACGGCTAATTGTTGTTTAATGACAGGTATAAGACTGGCGCAACAACACAGATAAATAACTATTGAATTTGTTTGTCCATGTACGCATTTGATCTGAAATCAATTGTACATATTACATACCTACATGCGTTTTAGGTATATCATTATTTTCACTATAACTTTAAAATTCATTATTGGTTATGCAATAGAACGGTTTTTTCTTATAGATGTTCCCTTACCAGTTTCAGTTTTCGCTTTAGCTATATTAAAAATATGTCATTGTTTGTTTCATATTTTTTTATCAATCCAATGTCGTCGACAGTAATTGGTGGCATTATTCTTATATTCTTTAACTAGAGAAGGTTGACAAAATGTGTCGAGATTGTTCACTCCACATAAAAATTGTATTACGCTTTTTTGCAGAAAAAAAAAACCTCTCCAAAATGCAATTCCATATATCTTAAATGGGATTTAATGGGGGGGTGGATGGCTCAGTGGTAGAGTCTCTGCCTGTGGATCCAAGGGTCCCAGGTTCGAATCCCACCGTTGGCCGGAATTTTTTCATTTAATATAATTATTTAAAATTAATTCTGATACCTTGGTAGGATTCCCCACTCGACCATTCACTGTTGGGTTCTAATTAACAGTGATGTTCCTAAAGTGGCGCTGGGAAACAGTAACAAAGCCTACACAGAACACGAGGCGAAATAACCTTAGCAGTTGAAGCCGATGACACAAAAAAAAATTAGAGCGTAATGTAACACTTTTAACTGGTTGTCACACTTCTGACTGCAAAACATCCAGAAGAAAGTTTTTTGTCTAGCAAATATATATTGTTTCTTACATGTCTAATTATTGTTTAAATTAATGCCCAGAAGTTTTTTTTGTTAATTTATTTAACGTCAGATTATTTCTAACTATGAGGTTTAATAATGACCGCTGGTGACTACGCTACCCCCAAATACCAGAAATTTAGCCGATTCCTCTGGTGTTCCAAGGAAACATAGAAATCTTTAACTAGTCCAACATCCATGGACGGCTTTATAATATCTCCTTCGAAAGATAACATACCCCACGCTATAGCTCATACTCATTGACATAGCGCCTGCCAGCTGTGGTGTGCATCTGCGCGGGCAGTTTGTTTGGGCTTTTATATGTAAGCCGACTTCCCTTGGATAGTCACACATCCAATTACTAACTGCAGGAGACCCAGCTTAACTGCAGATATCGATACACATTAGTGAACCTGTTGTCTGTATCAGTATATTCAAGGTTATTACTTTCTATAAGGGTTGGTTTCTCCATATTAAGACCCAAATAGTTGACGTGCTGTGCCATAAAATTGTAGTGTTACCAGCAAATAGAGTGAAAGTACTTGCAATCTTAAGTTGAGTTAAGTCATTTATATAAAGAAGGAATAAAATGGAACACAGAACCCTGAGGTACTTCCCAACTTTTATCTAAAACTTGAGAGACCTTAGTAGTTCTTACCATTTGCTTACGTTCCAAAAGATAAGATTTTATTAGGCTTCGTCTTTGATTCCGTAAATTCAAAGTTTTTGCAACATTACTGTGTGCGATTGACGCGATCAAACGCATTAGTCAAATCACAGAATATCTCCGCTATAGCTTAATTAAAATTAATTTTAGAGTAAGCAAGTTCAAGATAAGAAAATGTAAATAGGCAGGTGGAGGAGGCGATCCAGTCCTGATAATTTATATAGGCAACCAATAATGCTTATGAGTAAAAAAACTCCGTAATGCGCATACGTTGTAGTGCCGCTAAACATCACACAGCTGTACCATTTTTAATTAGGTCG